TAGCCGAAATTGATTTCTAAAAATAGCGTCGCTTTTCATAGGTTTTGCCCTAACACGGGGTTAAACTGTGTTTTAATTAATTAAACCTGTAGGTAGGCAGCAGTGCTATATTATTTTAATAAGACAATTTGAGATTCCCGGAATTTCACTACGTTTCATATCGTTTTATTATGAAAATTTACAGCCGCGCAGATTGGAGACGATATGGGGAGACACAGAGTTCCGCAGAGTTAATAAACTTCTTACTTGTAAGAGTTGCAATAAGAAGAAATATTTCCAAATTAATGGATAAGGAAATTTAAATATCGCTATTTAATTAAGAACCTAATGAACCCTGGACAAGCGTTTTCGCCCTATATTGATATTTATTATACAGAGTGTACGAAAAGTAACGGGACGGTCAATTATCTCTGAAACCATAAGTGGTGCAATTTGAACGAAATCTCATATTTAGACTTTACTTGAAAATCGGTATTCAAAAAAAGTATCGACGTTGTTGCCAGACTTATACCCATTTTTCTGAAGGCACACAATTTTTTTTAAGTAAAATGTGTTTTCTCTCAATCGATTGGTCTTGTTTGATTTAGTGAGAACGGAATGATAGGTAAATGAAATCAATAGTAGGACAAGAGCTATTGATAGAGGTTACAATATGTGGAGTGTTTCATTTGAAATAAAAAAGGTCGCATGCCTTTAGAAAAATTGGTAAATCTGGCAACAGCGTCCATGCGATTTATGAATATATTGTTCAAATTGCACCAGTGGTTCCAGACATAATTGACCGTCCCGTTACTTTTCGTACACTCTGTATACATATAGTTCTACGTGGAGCACCAGCCAATATTAAAAATGCACGAAACAATAATCCAAAAATATATATATTTTTTTTCTTGTATTTTTAAGAAACAATAAATTTTCGTTAAAAGCTGTCAAGAAATATTTTTGGGATAGTGCATTAAAGTTTAAAAATAAAATAAAAAACTGCCGGTGCCAAAGACGTTAAACTTAAATTTGTTTGATTGTAGAAAAATATGTTTTTTTTTTCGTCTCGGGACTATAACATTTTTTGTAATTCAGTTGCGAAATGTCATCTTTTTGACATTGATTTTAGTTGTCAAAAGTGGTTCATTTTAACACAAACGCCAAAATAAGCAGAGTGTTCTAATACAATGTTAAAATGAGATCTCATTTCATCACTGAGTGTTGAAATGGGATTTAGAGTGCGTTCCGTGTCAGTGTTGAAATGAGTTTATATTTTGAATTTTAAATATTTTGAATGAATCACAGAAAATCTTGTATGAAACACTCAAAATGGCTAGTTTATTGCAAACAATCTTCACACTTAGTGCAAAAAACACGCTCATTTCACAACTTGTTACATAAATAGCTCTATGTTACCTATTTTCAAATGGCGGAAAGTAGCGAGATTTTGGACAATATACTTTTTGTCTCAGTTTTGTAGGTACTTCAACGGTAATAATAGTCGATGTTCTAGTAATAATAATTATTATTAGTTCCCTAGCTATGAAGAGAAAAATATTACGTCTCCTTAGATATAGTTATATAGGGACTGATATTTACAACCTCATATCGTATAAAATAAATATAATGAGGTTTCGGGATGTCTGGGCAACTGAGAGGCCTTCAGCTTCTTCAATACTTTTTGGCGTGTCGATTAACATCTTACCTACATAAAGAGACCAGATTGGCACCCAAAACCAATGTAGACCAAAAAGTAAAAAGGATACTGGTATTGGTCATCAGCGTTCATCAGTAAGAATATAAGCAGTTTTAGTAGTTGTTGTTATGCAGTGGGAAATGCAAAAGCTGGAACCACCTCAATGATTTTCTCAAGAAAATTGGAATCTATATCTGAATTTAATATAAATGGTTATACCACTCATTACAACTGTGGTGACATTAACAAAAATGATGGTGTCTTAATGTTAGTTAAGTCTTGTCTTAATGCAGAAATCACTTCCATTCCATTGAACTTGAATTGTCTGGCATAACTATCATCAAGACTGGTGTAAAAATTAGTAATATAACTTTGGGAATTAGTGGTGTTTATAGATCTCCCCAAACCACGGTACAAATGTTTATCAGAGATATAGACACATATATCTCAAATCACTTAAATAAAAACATAGAAATTTGGATAGGTGTCCTAAATGTTGTCCTCTTAGATTCCAGAATAATAATACAAACGATTACCCTGCAACTTTCTTCGCTCATGGTTTTTATGCCATACACAGGCCACAAAGTCAATCATGCTTTGACCACATTTTTCTTAGAAATAATATAAAATCTCAAAACATGGCCAACAGTTCATATGTAATTGATTGAGCAAAGATTTTTGAGAAGTGCCTCAAAGAAAGGTTAACTGACTAGTTGAAAGCAAACGACCTATTGCCAAAGAATCAGTTTGGATTTACTGAGGGCCTCAACTCCAGTGATACTATGCACGAACTCATTTCACGAGATAACAACAAAAAATGTTTGGCTGTTTTTCTTGACTTGGCTAAGGCATTTGATACAGTGCCCCACCAAAAACTTCTCTGTATGCTTGAACACATTGGAATTCGTGGTACCACGGTTCACTGAGGACTGAATGAACACAACGCTGCGATTCCGGCGTTTAGCCGGTGTGACGTCACCAGTTCCCGCAAAATTCATCTTCATAAGGGATTTTCTCGAATACTATTTTGAATATAGGACTGCGGCTTTCACTAGAGATTTTTTTCTCTTGATTTAAGTAATTTAAGTTGTTTTTTTGGGTCACACCCTCTTTAAGCAAATGGATAGGAATCATCAAGGATCTAAATGGAATTGTAGACGTAGAACAAGGTTCTTAGGTAGCGTTCATCACACTTTTTTGCATTTGGGAAATAAATCCATCAAGGCTCGACAATTTTTAACATAACAGTACTTACTGTTGACTGCTCGAATCCTAGTTCTTCGTCAATGACCTTCTGCAAGCCTGGGTCTGCCGTATAAAGTTTAACTTTTCTCCACTATTAACGTAATTTCAACGTAAAATTCGTCTGCTTTAAATCGGTCTTAAATGCAGCGGACACTTTTGACCGCTTTAATTAAAGCGTATTCGGAAATAATTTACCAAAACAGTAAACATACATCTGCTATAAAGCAGATGCATTTTGCAAGGAGTAAATGCTTTCAATTTGAAGCAAATGGGCGATATGATTAAAAAGAGTATTTGCTTTTACTCCTTATGCTCTATTTTGTAGTTTTCACTTCAAAAAATTATAGCATTTACTCCACATAATTCTTAAAGTAAGTACTAGAAGCAATTACTTTATAATTTGCTCTATTTACTTCAATATATAGAAGTTTATGCTGCAGAAATTACTAATGATTTCTAGTATTTCCTCCATTAGAGAGTATTCGGTGTAGTTTTTGAGAAACTACTCAAGAGTAACTTCACATCAATTAGATTGAATCTTCGGTTGAAACTCAACCATCGGTCAGCCGGGCATTATAATATAATACCGGCCCTAAGCTAAGTGATCCTGGATTTCAACAAGGTCGAGGTTACGAGGTAAATCAAACAACCGTGTCAAACGTAATTAAAGAAGTTTCACAAAAAATTGTGTGGAAGAAAAATGTTTAGATTTCATTTCCTCAAAATGCCCGCGACGTTGAATTAGCTAAAGATGGATGGACAATACTTGGGAAAATGGAGCGATAGATTGTACCCACATAAGAAACAAAAAGAACCTATTTGAGGTTAAACACGTCCTAGTATTTACTACTAGTTTATACTTCTAACCTAAGTAAACATTTCCCATACAAGAATTTACTTCATGTGAAAGATTATACTCTAGAAATTAATCGGCCAATATGATTAAAAAGAGTATTTGCTTGTACTTCAAGTAAGAGCTTTAATTTTCTAGTAATTGTGGAGTATAATCTTTTACATGAAGTAAATTCTTTTATGGGAAGTGTGTACTCAGATTAGAAGAAGTATAAACTAGTAGTAAATACTAGGACGTGTTTAACCTCAAATAGGTTCTTTTTGTTTCTTATATGGGTACAATCTATCGTTCCTATTTCCCCAAGTATCGTCCATCCATCTTTAACTAATTCAACGTCGCGGGCATTTCGAGGAAAAAAAAATCTGAACATTTTTATTCCACACAATTTTTTGGGAAGCTTTTGACACAGTTGTTTGATGTGCTCCGACATCTACATCAACTACGGTTGACCGATGGTTGAGTTTCCACCGAGGTTTCATCCGTCGGTCAGGTGGACATTATAATACCGACCCTTAGAGTCCTTAAAAATATCTCCATCACATATTTCCTTCCTTTTCTTACCATTATAATTATTAAAAAAAGCCAGTTATAACGTCTTTTAAATCGAAGCATATGATGTGACTCTTGAGTAGCTTCTTAAAAACTACACGGAATACTCCCAAATGGAGGAAATACTAGAAATCATTAGTAATTTTTGCAGTATAAACTTCTATAATATATTGAAGAAGATAGAGCAAAGTATTAAGTAATTACTTCTATGTACTTTCTTTAAGAATTTTGTGGAGTAAATGCTATAATTTTTTGAAGTGGAAACAAATACTATTTTTAATCGTACCGCCTTTGTCATCATCTTTTGTTCATAAGAAAAAGAGAATTTGCTTTTTCCTGGAGCATTTTTGCTTCCAACGAGAGGTTTTGCTTGAACTTTCATTCATACTGCATAATATAAAGCATTTGCTTCAGATTTTGCGAGAAAAAGCGAATGCTCTTTTTTTAAATCTGGAAAATAGCAAGATGTTCAAAAGTAAATATTTAGTGAAAAAAAAATAACTCCAAAAATAATTTCTAACTATATTTATCCATACGGCGGAATTATAGGACTGGACGATTGAACTTTTATTAAGTGATAATTACATATTGACTATCTTTTCTGAAATATAAGAATCGTACTCTACCGTTATTAACTCTAATTAATTTAAAATTAAATCATCAAATAACACTTACCTTCAAATTATGATAGAAGAACACTAACCCTAGCACCACAATAGTAAAAAACACGAACAATGTAAAAGTGCTCACATGGGACACATTTAAAACATTGAAAACGTTACTGAGCGTGAACGCGGCACCGTGACAACAAATAATCGGTAAAATACACCGATCCAGTACATCCCAAGGAACTTCTTGGGTCGCAGAAGTTACGCCTGTATTTGGAAGTCCTACAGATGATGGACGTCTTATGGAGGATTTTCTGATGTTGCCGATTGCCGGAAGGGCCTTCAAGGAAGACCGGCGCTTGAACGGACCGCTCATGTTGGGTCACCGAATCCGGAATATCTGGTGCCGGTCTGAGTTCAAACCAGTGTCAAATCCCTGGAATGCCTCGGCAGGTATGAAGTGGACTGCAAGCCAAAATGTTTAATGTCAAAAATAAATTAGAAATTTGTCGAGAAAAAGCTTTTGGCTGGAAATTTCTTGAATCCAAACCACATTGGAAGCTAAAAATACTACAAAATATTTTGTGTGTCGCGATTTAAAATTAACTCAACCAAGCGCCTCCTGATAGAAATAATCATAGCGGTGGGTTATGTGCTCTGGGATATTCTCGATAAATTGGCCTACATCAACGCAAACGTTATAGACGATTACGTGAAATTGTGCATCATAAAGGCTAAGTTGTTCACAATTTGCATTTTTCATGGCCTACGTTAATAGTTTCATGGTTTCTAAATTTTTTTCTGAGGCAAAAATAAATTTAAACTTGTTTACAAGTCCCTTCCTAACAGAATATACGTAAACTTTTTTAATTGCTTGCTATGAGCTTGAAAAAAGTCGTGGAATGATCCAAAATGTGTTGAGTGGTAATGAAATGAAATAGGAGGCTTGCAGGATTACCTATCTCTCCAATCAGCCCCATAAGTCAACCTCTGGACATAGGCCATCGATTCATTACACCATGCCTCTCTATCGTGGGCCATCTGCATTCCTCTTAGTTCAGCGTGCCTCATTAGATTATCTGACCATCGCAATGTATAAATAACTATTTGATTCCACCTGTCGCCTTTTTGTCCAAAGGGACCCGTACTTAACAACTTGTATTGTAATCGACTGTAGTAGTACAAACTGCATATAATAGTTGTGTAATTGTTCAGAGTTAAATGTATAGTCTTAAATTATTCTATTTCTTAGGCAAAAACTCTGTTGTGCATGCATAGGAGTTTTTTTGGCTATAAGCTTAACACTAAAAAATACAATCTGTGATTGGTTGGGGTTTACCGGCTTATGCCTATGCGTTATGCAAAATCGTGTGTGACGGCTTTATTTCAATTTACATTACAATGCTGGTTTTTATTTGCAAAAGTTTCCAATTTTAAAAATTCGCGCCAAATATACCAGGACAAATCCTAAAAATATTGGTTATTTTGTCTCTTGCACTCACATCAAATAAATTCCTATTTATTTTTCCCTTGTTCATTCCTTACCAGTTCAACTACACGTGCTGTAATCGCATTTTACCATACCACTCATAACACAAAGACTAATTGACATTTGCAGTCTTGTCACCTCAAAGCAATTTTGAATGTCTATTTTTCATTGAGTTTTGGTATTCTCATTAATTATTTACTTTACTATTATAAATAGGTAGTTCTTCAATGCCGATAATGATGTACATACCTACTTGAGTGGATAGCTATAGGTCTGTTCCAACTGACATGAGAACCGTTCTAGAATGGTAATTTCCAGTCGATCAATTCATTTGTCAATTAGGATAAACGTTGAACTTATTGAAAAATGACACTTGGCGATGAAGAACAGATTTTAGCGATAGTGGAGTAGTGAAAAAAAATTGTATTTTCATAATCAGGATTTGGCGAGTAGCTGAGGAAGTATTATTTAGGGTACGTGCACAACGGAGCTGTGATACATACTTATTGCCTGGATGCTAGATGGAAGCTATCATCGATGGTTAGAATTATATGTATAATTGGTTTAAATGTGAGCGTGCACATCGGAGCAGTGAGTTTAGCCGGAATGATCGCTTATAGCATAGTAGAATGAATTTTGCCCTTCTTTCTGCGAGCAGAAATTAGCTGACACGGGTGGCACATGCTCAGTCTTCGTCCTGTCTTTAATTTCACTGAAAATGTATTGGAAAGTAGATGATTCCATCTTCAAATATTCTCAACTACTTAAGTAAATACCACTCTGTACATCAATTTTACTAAAGTGTGTCGACAAGTCAGCATTAATTTGGTATAAATACCGCGCCGAAATCCATTACCGGCAGACGAAGGCTAGTGCAAAGTACTTCAAATGGGAAAAGCCCCTCTAGCTAAGTCTTCTCCCAGTGCAAACTACCTTTAATGGGAAACGCCCTTCTGGGAGTATTGAACGCAGCAGACTAGGTCCAGTGCAAACTACCTTTAATGGGAAACGCCCTTCTGGACCTGTCTGAAACCTAGCTTCTTCTGGGAGCATTGAACACAGCAGACTAGGTCCAGTGCAAACTACCTTTATTGAGAAACGGACCTGTCTCAAACCCAGCTTCAGTTCTCAGTCACGCCAAGTGTACAGAGTGTACATAATACAGAGTAGCCTATAAGTAGTACGTCCCTCCGTAGAAGAGACGTCATGATACTATTTCTAGGGTAATATTATTATTCAGTACATATCTTATTGTACCTATACCAAGCGAGTTTCTCTCTACCTGAACCCCACCTACGCCCACAGGTCACGCTCCTGTTGTGACGTCCCAGGACGAAACGTATAGGGGTTGTGACATATTTGGTGGAGGTGCCGGGTAGATTATCAGAGAAACCTGAAAAAGAAAGTGGAAAGCAGAAAACAAGGAACAAATGAAACGCTAAAGGTGTACCTTTTTGAGCTACCTACTGGTACTGTACCACGATTATAAGGAAAAAATTGATATTGAGGAGTTTACAACAATCTTTAGCGAAGGATTAAGAGAAGAAAGCTTCTCCCACTATTATTGGCTTACGAATTCACCCAATAACCCTCCGCAGGCACTGGATAAGATAAAAGAGCTCGCAGGGACAATAGACAGATAGAGCGCCAAAGAAGAAAGAACATAGAGCCTCACCGGCAAACGAGACTCTAGAGACATATACACAGCCAAGAAGGTATAACAGTAATTTTCAGACACGACCACATTACGGCCGATTACTGCAAGAACAAAACTGTTATAACTGTGAGTACCAGGAAGTCCAATGTGGAGTGGGACACTGAACGCCAAAGTTATTTCATCTCTAACAGAACCTATTATCTTAGGAATTGAGTTTTTATTAAAAAATAAGGCAATTATAGATCTCCCACGCAAAGAACTAATTTTAAATGAAAAACACAGAATACCCTTAAGGCACACAAACAACGAAAAAATACTTATGACGGGCCTAGTCATAACAAAACAGCCAGTCAAGGCGAAGCAGCCCCCTAATTTGAAAATAGATGAACTGGAGTTCAACAAATTCATAAAAGACAACACTAACATAACAACCAACCAGTTCAACGGTTTCCTAAAGAAAGAAAATGGAGATAGAGGCACCCTACCAATTAACGCCGTTTTAGCAGTAGGTGTAACCAAAGAATACAAAGCGAAAAAGGCAATTCTTAAGAAAAAAGAGATACGCTTCCCAGAAACAGGCAAAAGGGGACCATAGGATATAAAAACATGCGAAACAATCGGCAATTTTTCTATTTACAAGAAAATCCATGAGATAAAAGTCAACTCCAAAAAAATATACAGGGTGTCCCACGAGGTTTTTCCCTGTATAATTTTTCATCATTTTCTTTAACAAAGCCTTAACAAATATGGCATTGCGGTTTTGTAACCTAATTTTCTAACGAAAAATGCCATAATATACCATGAGTTACATTCAAGATTTGAAAGTTAACGTCACTTGACCGAAATTGAAGCGAAAGTGGTGAAATTGAATGACAATGGTAGAAGCGGCACAAAAAGTTACCCAGATCCTCAAAATTTCAATTATATTGGATGATGCGTTCCGAAGTTATTACGTGGGAAAAACGTCGTGGGATACCCTGTATATAAATGTCTAAGAACACTTAGGATCAGCATCACAGAAAAATCGGTTGAAAAATTTGTTATACCAAGACAGGGATGGGGATTGGGAAAAGAATGGGCAAGATTCACACAAATGTTGTGTTTTCTGTTTAAGGACACGGGCGTCACTGTTCTTATATACAGAGAAGAACCAAGTCATAAAATAGAAGAAAAACCCGAAGAGGAAATCAGTAACCTAATGCCAATCAGTACGGAAACCAAAGATAAAGTACACAAATTAGGTGTTACTAACGATTATAGGATGTCTCAAAATGAAGTAAATATATATTGTAATTAAAAACTCTGGACGAAAATAGTGAAATTAAGAACAATGTGGGCTACCAATACAGCTTGGACTGGTTAGCAAAAAATCATCTGGTACTACAAACGCACATTCACACAAACGGCAGCTTTATGTTAAAAGTGAAATCAAATACACGGAATCCAGTAGCTATTTACGCGGAAACAACAATGTCATTTTTAGAAACAACAGAAATCACTTTTACAATCTGATGCTACAAGAAGAGAAGATCCAGGAAAACGAAGAAGTAACGCTAGATGACCATAAAGTATAGACGGAATTTCAAGCGAGGAAAATAAGCAGGCACTAATAGAACTACTTCTTGAATATAATGACGTTTTTGCAAAATAGACAAAACGAATGGGCGAAACCAACTTAACACAAAATAGAAGTTGGGGACGCCAGACCAATCAAAAGTCGCCCGTACCGGGTATCACAGAAAGAAAGACAGATCATAGACGAACAAATTCAGGAAATGCTTGATAGCAACGTTATTAGGCCTTGCCACTTTCCATGGGCCAGTCCAGTGGTGGTAGTGAAGAAAAAGGATGGGAAAACCAGATTTTGCGTAGATTACAGGAAAATAAACAGTGTAACAAACAATCAACTTACCCACTGCCGCAGATCGGCGACATCTTTTCATACCTAGGCAACGAAAAATGGTTCAGCACCCTTGACATGTTTTCTGGACATTGGCAAGTTCCAGTAGAGGAAAGTTCAAAGCAATATACCGCATTTGTGGCACAAGGGCATGGAACCTACGAGTTCAACGTAGGTACTAAGTTTTGGGTTGTGCAATGCCCCAGCAACCTTCCAAGAAATTGCAGATCAGGTCTTTGGGGACATGAAATGGAAAGAAGTGCTAATTTACCTGTATGACATCATCATATTTTCCCAAACTTTCGAAGAACACTTACAAAAGCTAAGAAAAGTTTTTGAACAATTAAGAAAAGCTTCTCTTACGCTTAAATCAAGCAAATGCGAATACATAAAACAGGAAATCACGATACTAGGCTTTGATGTAAATGAGCAAGGAATTTTACCGGATAAAGAAAAATAGTTGGCATAAGAAAATTTCCCACACCAAAGAAAGTCAAGGACGTACAAAGTTTTCTTGGACTGTGCAACTTTTATAGAAAGCTTATTTACAAATTCGCATCAATAGCCAGACCGTTGCATGAAGTAACAAAGAAAGGCATAGGCTTCAAATGGGGTACAAAGCAAGAAGAAGCATTGATTACTCTCAAAGAAAAGCTTGTCTCTGCACCAGTTCTACAGCATTTTAAGCCAAACAAAGATACTATCCTGCACACTGAGGCAGCAACCTGTGGAATAGGAGCAGTTCTTTTACAAGAGGATAACAAGGGAGGAGCACATCCAATAGCCTGTCGCAGCCTGTCAAACAACGAAAAGAACTATTTAATTAGCGAATTAGATCTCCTAGGCATAGTCTGGGCCTTGGTTATGTGAGGCACTTAATATACGGCCGACCAGTAAAAATCGTGACTGATCACCACGCGCTCTGCTCGATTGACACTATTAAGGAAAGCAACAGACGCTTAGCCAGATGGGCACTGAAACTAGCCGAATTCGACTATACAGTTGTGTATAAAAAAGGCTCGACCCACAAGGACGCGGATTGCATGTCTCGCA